AAAGGAGGATTGGCAGTGGATGTTAGCTCAGGGCTGATCTTCCTCAAAAAAAAAAAATTAAAAATTAAAAGAGAGCTAACAATACCAGCTTTATTTGAAAAATAAAATAAGAATATATATAAGGCTATTCAAGTTATCTTTTCTTCTTGAGTGTGCTTTTGTGTCTTTCAAGAAATTTGTCCATTTTATCTAAGTTGTCATATTTAATATATAAAGTTTTTCATATTTTATTATTTTCAATATAATATTAAAGTATTATAGAATAACATAGAATAATAATGTAGAATTTGTAGTAACATCATCACTCTCATTCCTGTACGAGGTAATTTGTGTCCTCTTTTTTTGTGTTCATTATGGTCACAGGTTTATCAATAGTATTGATCTTCTCAAAGAACCAGCTTTAGGTTTAAATGATTTTCTCTATTACTTTTCTGTTTTCTATTTCATTAATTTCCACTAAAGTATTTAAGATTTCCTTTGTTTTTCCTACTTTAGTTTGCATTTTCTATTCTTTTTCTAGTTTCTTTCTTTCTTTTTTTAAAGATTGGCACCTGAGCTAACATCTGTTGCCAATCTTCTTTCATTTTTCTTCTTCTTCTCCTCAAAGCCCCCCAGTACGTAGTTGTATGTTCTAGTTACAGGTCCTTCTGGTTCTGCTATGTGGGATGTCACCTCAGCATGGCTTGATGAATGATGCTATGTCTGTGCCCAGGATCCAAACCTGTGAAACCCTGGGCCACCAAAGTGGAGCGTGCGAATTTAACCACTCAGCCATGGGGCGGACCCCTCTTTTCCTAGTTTTGTAAGATAGAAGATGAAGTCATTGACTTGTGATATTTTATCCTCTTTTGTTAATATAGATTTTATTTCTACAAACTTTCTTCTAAGTACTACTTTATTTGCATTCCATAAGTTTTGGTGTATTTTATTTTTATTCAGTTAAAATTCTTTAAAATTTTTGTTTTGACTTGTTCTCTGTCAGATTGGTTTTGTTTAGTTTCCAAACATTTGGAATTTTCTGATATCTTCCTGGTATTAATTTCTAACTTAATTTCATGGGATCAGATAGGATACCTTTTATGACTTGAATTCTTTTAAATTCATTGAGACTTGTTTTATGACCTAGAATATGGTCTATTTTGGTAAATGTCCTATGTGCACATTAAAGAATGTGCATGCAACTATCGTTGGCTGCAGTGTTCTGTAAATGTCACTTAGGTCAGTTGGTTGATTGAGTCATTTATATCAATTGACTGATAACATTGTCCTAGTTTTTCCTAGTTTTCCATATCTTTACTGATTTTTTTTATGTCTACTTGTTCTGTCAATTACTGAGAGAATGGTGTTGAAATCTTTCACTATGGTTATGGATTTCTCTAATTCTTCCTGCAATTCTATCAGTTTTTGCTTCATGTATTTTGAAACTCTGTTACTGGGGACATAAATGTTTAGCATTGTTATGTCCTCTTGATAAATTGATCCCTTTATCAACATGATATGGCCTTCTTTATTCCTGGTAAATTTCTGTGCTCTGAAATTCACTTCATTCATGTTAATAAAGGCACCCCAGCTTTCTTCTGATCAATGTTAGCATTTCTTTTACTTTCAGCCTATTTGTGTCTTTATGTTCAAAGTTTGTTTCTTGGGGGCAGCATATACTTTTGCCTAGTCTTTTATACAATCTGTCAACCTCTGCCTTTTAATTTAATTTCCTCTATATGATTATGATACAGTTGTCTGTAAATTTATCATCTTGCTATTTGTATTTTTATTTGTCCTATCTGTTCCTTTTTAAAAATCTTCTGTTGGGGTAAGTATCTTTTATGATTTCATTTTTTTCTTATTTCTTAGCTCTGAATTTTTGTTGTGTTATTTTGTGGTTGCCTTAAAGTTTATCATATATATTTTTAACTTATCACACTAAAACTTTGAAAGATATTATACCACTTCATATGTACTATAAAGAATATTACGACAGTATTCTGCCAAATAATTCTTTCCTCCTTGTGCTATATCATAACTTTTACTTCTATATATTATAAACCTCACAACACATTGTCTTTATTTTTGCTCCAGTCAACTATCTTTTACAGAGATTGAAATAATAAGAAAAAAAGTTGTCACATTTACTCAAATAGTTACCATCTCTGACGGTTGTCATTCATTTGCATAGCTCCGGATTTTCATCTTGTATCATTTTCTTCTGTTGAATGACTTCCTTCAACATTTCTTGAAGTGCAGGTTTGCTAGTTCTGAGTTCTTTCCTGTGTCTTAAGTAGTCTTTGTTTTTGTTCATTTTTGAAAGATATTTTTGCTGGGTAAAGAGATATAGTCATGTTAAATGTGTGTTTTATTCTCTAGCTGCTTTTAAGATTTTTCTGTTCGTCACTAGTTTTAAACAATTTGATTGTCATGTGCCTCTGTGTAGTTTTATTCATGTTTTCTTGTGGTTTATAGCTTCTTGGATCTGTGGGTTGTAGTTTTTATCAAATTTGGAAATTTTTCAGCACTTATTTCTTCTGCTGCCCCTCTTCTCCTCTGTTCTTAGGGGACTCGACCTACACATATATTAGGCTATTTGAAGCTTTCCCATAATGCGATGATGCTCTGTCAATATTTTCCATCCTTCTTTATTTGGATACTTCCTATTGCTATGTCATCAAGTACATTAATCTTTTGTTATACAGTGTCTAATCTGTCATTAATTCCTCCCACTATCTTTTTAATTTCAGATATGCTAGTTTTTTTCTCTGGAGTCCAATTTGGATTTTTTTTTATATCTTCCACATCTCCACTTAACCTGTCTAGTCTTTGCTCTAGCTTCCTGAACATCTGTAATAGTTATAATCACTGTTTTAATACCCTTGTCTACTAATTCTATCATTCTGAGTCAGTTTCAATTGATTAATTTTTCTTTCCTTCATGAGTCTTTGTTTCTAGCTTCTTTGTATATCTGCTATATGAAAACACTGTGAATTTAACTAGTCGGATACTAGATATTTTTCAATTCCTTTTGATGTGATGTAGCTTTGTTCTGGAATGCATTCAAGTTACTTGAAAAGGGTGGTCCTTTTGGGTTTTGCTTTTAAGCTTTGTTGGGTGGAACCAGAGCAGTGTTACATTGAAGGTAATTTTACCCCACTACTGAGCCAACCCCTTCTGAATACTCTACACAGTGACCCATAATTTATAAGCTTCTCCACTCAGACTGGTGGCAACAGACAATATTCTTGCCCATAAAGGTTCCCTGGCGTATGCTTGCTAATGTTCTCAGATGTTTCTTTCTCTAGGTTGGGGTAGTTTGCTCACACAGGAGCTGATCAGAACAACATAGCTGAATACTCTAGATGACCCGCTACACATCTCCAGAGCTCACTCTCACTCTGCATTTCTCTCCTCTCCAGTGCTCTGCCCGTGGAACTCCAGCTGCCTTGAGCTCCCTGGATTCCCTACTCTGTGTTCTCAACTCAGGGAGACCACTGGGCTCCTCCTCTTTGCTCCACTGAATGCAAACTTTCTCCAGGCAGTGAGTAGGGACAATCAGGCCTTGCCTCGTTCACCTCCCATCTCATTGTCTGATGTCCAGTGTCTTGAGAACCATTGTTTCATATATTTTGTCTAGTTTTTTAGTTGTTTCAGGGATGAGGGTTAATCAGGTCCCTCTTTCTCCATCTTGGTTGGATGTGGAATTTGCTGAACCCCAGACTTAACTAGATTTTCCTGAGGGGGCTTCCCAATTCACTAAGCTCAGAGAGAAGGCAGCCATCTTACTGGGCAGCCAGGAGTCTTGGTCCCAAGTCACAGAAGAGCAGCATCCCAGCAGTCCACCTTAGAGTGCGTTCCACTGCTAAACTGATTTCTATTTAAAACCCCTCTCACAAAGTTTCCTAAATATAAATTCTCTGACTCACCCGGGAACTGCTTTGAATATTCTTTTTAGTCTTGTTCTGGGTTTGCAAACTCCAGAAGCACATCAGAGAAAATAAAGGAACTTTGCTAAATTTTACCTAGTCCCTTGCACAGTTCTGAGTGTTCCTTTATCCATTTAAGTCCCAAGTTTTTACATAGCTTATCCTCCAACACACACACACACACACACACACACACACACACACCCTCATACAGGACAGTAGAGTTCAGCATGTCAAAGATGGGTTATCATATGTACTTCCATGAGATGTTTTCTCAACATTTATTTTCTATCCATAATCTCTTCTGAAATAAAAGCCAGAATAACTACAAAATTTCTGCAGCAAAATCACAGCTAATTGACTTGGAATCTCATAGAGCAGGCTTTCATCCAAATCCACATATGATCTTGTTGTGACTAGCTTTAGTTTGTAGGTTCTCTAAACTCCCAGAGTGAAAAGAAGGTCATCCATGTCATCTCCTATATGGATCTCCTCCTTCCTCTATTTTGAGGCTCATAGGATAATAAGTGGACAAAAATATTTTATTCAAGTTTTAATGAAATTTGGCTAAATCTTAATGAAGCCCAGTCTAAAGCTTCTCTAGGAGACTCTGAGAACCAGACACTTCATTCATGCCATCTGAGTGGTGGCTTAGCACCTTACACAATGAGGGACCATGCGTTCCTTCTTTTCATCATGGAGATGTGCAGGTGCTGACGTGGACCTGAGGACTGTCTGGGTTGGATAACATGAAAGAGGCTTCTAACCTGCTAAAAAAACATCCATAAGTGTCACGTCCTGAGGATAAATGTTGACATCGTCTATGATAGAACCGTGGAACAACTTGCCTTCTGAAGTACACTTCACACTAGCTTCAGCTCTTTTATTAACTAGTTGTTCATCCTTGAGCAAAGCACTTGACCTGGGCTGGTTTTTGTCTCTTCATCTGTTAGTAAAGAAAAGGCCAGGACAATTTGACTTCTGAGATCCTTTCCAGCTCCAAAAGTCTTTGAATGTCATTTTTGTTTAGAATGGGAAAAATAACTGTGAGAATAGAATACTGTGTTTCATCCAGTAAATTCTATGGAGCATAAGCTAAAAAGCATGTGGACCTGTAAACTAGGTCCATGTGACAACAATGAAATGCCGTTAGCTGGCAAAATCTAAGTCATTAACATAATTCTTCACATCTTATTAACCCTAATTCATTTGGCAAACGTTTCAGTCATTGAGATATTTGGTATCATGTGACCATAAATAAGGAATTAGTGACAGAATTAGGAATAAAGTCTAACACAGCTCAGTCTTTTGTCCTGCACAAAGCTATAATTTTATATATTATTCTATAAAATTAAATTATACCATATTAAAGAAAGTGAACTCAGAATTCACTCAGAAAAGTGAACTCAGTGAGCTCATATTAAGGAAAAGTCCAAAACTTTCCATCACTGCAACGTATCCTATCAGATTCTCAGATTCAGCGTTGCATTAATGTGGTTCGTTACATTTAATGATTTCAATAAAAATAAAGACAGTCATCCTCAAAAATCACTTAGATCTTCTTCCTGTGGTCTTTGGAAAAAGATTTTGCTTTCCTGTGTGAATCTTCTCCAGAATTTTTAATCTAGGCATGATTTCTTTGACAATCCAAACTATGGAAATTATTAGCGCAGCTAGCCACTTACTTCCTTCAAATGATGAAGCAGTAAGCTAATTAGAATGCTGTGGCACATTCCATCGGCGATTAACCAACTGTGATGGAGTTATTTACACCTCTGGAAGCTGTGCAGAATCTTACACATCTGAAGCTGGGGCTAAATCACTCCTGGCAATAGAATTTGAACTTACGCTTAAAAAACTGCTGAAAAACTTTAAGTATAAGCCTTTTTATTGTTATAAAATTTCACTTTTATGAGATTTGAGTTCTTTTTCATTTATTAAAGGTCACCATTTTTTAAAAAAAGAAGAGAAGGTTAGGTTCGTGAGTAGAGAGAATTGAAAGTTACAAACTCTGTTTTCAGTGACGTGAAACATCAGATATTAATATTTAAGTAAAATGAGATCCTCATATCCTCAGGCATTTATATATTTGTGTTCATTTATATAGTTGGTCTTGTGTTAGTAGGAGATATAGAAATGTTCACATTTAAAAGAAATAAAACTTGATGCTGAAACTTGTGGTCTTGTTAATGTTTTGGATCCAAGGTCATTTTAAAGACTAAGGTCCCAATAGCGTTTCATCTAGTAAAAAAAATTCGGATCCCCTTACCAATATGCTTTAAGACAGAGCTCACAAATTAAATTTAAAAACCAAAAGATCATGGAGTGATCCACTATAATCAGATATGTTTTGCTATACTAGATGATACTGAATTGTTATTTAATTGTTGGCAGAGATAATAAAGCAAAAATTCTAGATTCTGATCTATCTAGTGTTTTACGAAAGCAAAATCCATGATTTCATTGTTTTTTTGTATCTCACTCCCTGAGAAGCAGCAGAAAGGAAGGAGGAGGTCATGCTGATGATTTTTATTAGCATGCTTCAAAGTAGAGGAACCTTCCTGTGATAAGTGGGGAGGAAAACAGACCTAAATGCAAATACCCCCACTCACATCAAATCTACTTATCCATCAGTGCATTCCCTCCTCCTCTATGAAGACTGCCCTCCTTAACCAGCCTCATTTAGCCATTCTCCTTTGGTAGGTCAAGCAAATATTTTTGGTATCTTTATTTCGACAAACAATCGTATTTTCTCCCTAATGACATCCTTTCGATTATTGTTAGATCAGTCTTGTTATGTTAGCTTCCTCTTTGTCTATGTCTCATCTTCAAAGTTTGGGCCTCTGAGTTCTTTATAAATAGCACCCTCTTCCCCACCAGAATTCTGAATAAATTATTTATTCATTCATTCAACAATAAGCACCAACAAGGTGTCAGGGGCTGTTCTGGGCAGGAGGAGCCCCCAGTTAATGACAAGGATGTAAATGCTTGTTCTCCTGGAGCTTAAGTTCTAACTGGAGAAGACAAAAAATAAACAATAACATCAATAAGTAAGTCATAGAGTGTGCTGGGAGGTGGTTATTGCTTTAGGAGAACAAAGCGGAGCAGAGGAAAATGGATCAGAAGTGCCGTAGGCATAGACAGTGTAGGGTTGCTGGACTAGTGAGATGCTTTGGCTGAAGGGGCAGAGGAAAGTACTCTGCATTCAGGCTGTGCTCAGGCGGAAAAGCGGAAAAGCCATGCCAGGTGTGAGCAGATCATCAGTCCCAAATCTACCAATCAGGGACGTGACTTCACCTCCCTTGAGAGGAGTGGGTAAGGGGCATAGAAAAGTGAGACAAGGGGCTGGGGGTGGTCCGCTTCCTACTGTTGCGGGAAGTTCATTCTCTGATCCCAATGCCAACCCAAATAATGAGAACAGAGTCTTGGATGAAAAAGGAAAGGCTTTACTTTGCCAAGCAGAGGGAGCAAAGCAAGGGCTAGTGCCTCAAGAATTGCTAGCTCCTCATTAAGAAAGGGGTAAGGGTTTTTATTTGGGGTTTTAGGTAGGGTAGGGAGGCCGTGGCCTTCTTGGTCAGCATTTTCCCATCGGCCTGTGTCTGGGGCTGCTTCCAGCAAAGGAGACAAAGGATTTCTCAGGTGAGCATCCTTGGCTGTTTATCTCCATGGTGTAAGGTAGACTCTGACGTCAGGAAGCCACGAAGTCAGGCCTGGGAAGCTTCGGTTTCTTGATATTCTGTGGATGTTAGTTTCTCTGTAAAAGAACGTCAAGGTCCTGGGATTAACCACAATTTTAGTGGGAGCTGCCGAGCATGAGGACATCTGGACTTTAACAATTTGTACCCTCTATTTGGTTGCAAAGCTGAGGGAGTCAGAGGTTAAAGAAACAAACATGTACAAATGAGGGTAACTAAAGACCCAGGGAAGTGGGAATATGTGCTTTTAGTTTTAACCCATATATGCTGGGTTCACGGTAGGGGAACCAATATCAGGGATGATATTAACCAAGAGCCGGTAATACTAGCACGTATACAAAATACAGGAGGGAGGACATTCTCCCCTCATATTCCTAGTGTTGCTCATCAGGTTTAGACACCAGCCCATGATCAACTGGGGACGTGGCTCCCACCTCAGGGGGAAGCTCAGCGGTCTATGAGGACAGTCGACACCTCTGAACCTTATAGTAAGCTGAAGCAACCTGGATTTGGAGGTTGTTCACAAATGCTAAAAGTCATTACACTTAGGAGGCCCTGAAAGCCCCACACGACCTCACCAAAGCTCTAGTGTCCCCACCAGTTCCCCTATTCCACCAGGATGTGCCCATATGGATCATTAAAATATGGAAACAGTCCCAAACCACTGGAAGTAGCCACTACCCCAAGATCCCCTTCCCTGACCCCAGTTATCCCTACAGGGCGCTGGCCCTTCCTCAGATCCCCTGGATACTCCACAGTCCAGCAACTAAGGGGTGAGTGCCCTGCACAGCAAGGTGCCCAGGATGCAGCCATGGTGGCTTTGTGAACCCTCTGGGCCCCACACTCCTACCAAGGCCCAAGAGAGTGCCCATGCTTCCATAGAAAGGTCACTACTTAGGGACAATGTTGCCATAAGCTACCCAGTTAATCCTTCCCAGTTTCACCAGTAGAATCAATCACTCCATCACGTCTGGGGCAGAGTGATTAAGGAGGGCCAGACGTGTCACACTAACTGAGCTCCTGTCACATGGAAGGAAACACCAGGAGTAGGGAAAAAGAGTTCCACCCTAACACCCATAAGTAGATGTCAGTTTCTTGAGGACAAGAAGCAAACCTTACACTTCTTGGTATATACCTGCTCAATATTTGTTGTCCCAGTTAACATATTGGGCCCCTTTTATCTCAATCCTAAGGTCCAAAAGAAATTTAGTCAATACGTTTTCCCCATAGTCAAAACAGAGTTATGAATGCATTTGTTGTTATGACATTTCAAATTCATTCAGGTGGAACTCAGCATCTGCAAAGCTAGAAAAAATAAAGACCTGCTTTTTACTGTTCAATAAGAGCTAATGACATCTCGAACTAAATGGATGTGGAAAAGTGACCTGTTCTGCCAAAATCAACAAATAACGAGGAGCACAAAGAGCGAAAATCTAGTCACAAAATCGGAAATTCAATATTGCAATTGACCAGTAATGTATCCATAAATGTATATATTATTTTAAACAATAGATCCAAACCTGCTTCAAATCTCGTGTTTCACGCCAAGGCTGCCAGGATGCATAGCTCCGGGATGTGCATTCTCGTTGTTGTCTGTTTCACTGGCTGTATGTGACTCGACGCCCGGGGATGCTGTCACAGACCCCAATGTGCCCGTTTACAACCCTGTCGCGTGCTAACTTTACAGGAAGAAAGGATGGAAAGGGATTGATTATCATTCTCTAGTTGTGCAACTACTCACAGGCACAATCTCTTGTTTGCTTCTGCACACTTCTGAATACACAGCACAGTGCCAGTATACAGCAGGTGCTCAATAAATGTTCATTTAATGAACCAAAGCTTTTAGGGTCTGTTTGCACCTCTAGACCTGTGCTTCCAACACAGCAGCCCGTATCCACGTGTGGCTAATGGACATGTCAGCACAAATGGCTGACATGGCTAAATGTGGTCAGTCCAAATTGTAAAATACACAACAGACTCTGAAGACTTCATGTGAAAGAATGCAAAATGTCTCATTTATTTCTGTGTTGAAAATATGCTTAAATGGTAACACTTTTGGATATATTGAGTTAGATAAAATATATCAATAATATAAATTTTACTTGTTTCTTTTTACTTTTTAATTTGGCTATGAGAAATGTTAAATTATGAGCGTGGTTTGCATTGGTGACTGACATTAGATTTTTTTTTTTTGGACAATGTTGCTTTAGATAGAAACTTGGACAGTGATTTGAATTAAAGTTATTTTTCTTTGGTAGCCATAACGCACAAGTAAGCACTGTGATAATGGATGTGAAAGTTTTACTGTCATTGGAATTGGCATAGCATTTTCACTGTGGCACATAAAGAATATTTGCACTGCAATAACGGTGAGGGTTAAGGATTGCAACAGTAGCTGTTCCATGGCCTCCTGCTGACCTTAAGGATAAATTACCCTCTATTAGTGTGGATGATCTTCCCTTTCTGAAGCTACCTGCAGATATATTTAAACTAGTTATGCTTTGGAGTTCCATCTAAGAGTGATCTGATGTCAGGCTGTGGAGGAACTCAGATTTTCAGGAACTGTCTGTGCAAACACCAATGTTAGACTCTGGAAGACCTCCATGGGCATGCAAACAAATGTATTTGGGTGCCCCACTGGTATCAAAACCCACCACATCGAACTCTTCACACTATTTGAAAATATATTAAAATCAAGATAATGTATTCATATAAATAATTACACATAAAGATGAAAAAATATTCTTCAGGATAAGAAAGCAATTTTACCTTACGGAATTGACTTATCAGAAAAGAATTTCTTTTAAATTAACTTTTTTCATTTGACCAAATCTTGACTTTGGATCAAAACCAGAATAATATAATAGCAGCACACCTGATGAAAAGATGTGAAGTGATAACATTAAGTGGGTAATTTTTCCACCGTTTGTCATAGTCTCATTTAAATTTTGTAATATATGCCACACAGGAGCATCTTCCTTATAATTGGGACCATGGTATTTTGAAAACAACTCACTTAAATATTATTCAATAAGCATTTCTTTAATGAACTCTTTATTTCTAATTACCACAATGAGCTATACTGTTGAAAATATTTTTCGACATTAGGTAATATCTGTCAATAAAAGCCTTATCTTTATCTTTTTTTTTTTTTAAGATTTTATTTTTTCCTTTTTCTCCCCAAACCCCCCCGGTACATAGTTGTATATTCTTCGTTGTGGGTCCTTCTAGTTGTGGTATGTGGGACTCTGCCTCAGCGTGGTTTGATGAGCAGTGCCATGTCCGCACCCAGGATTCGAACCAACGAAACACTGGGCCGCCTGCAGCGGAGTGCACGAACTTAACCACTCGGCCATGGGGCCAGCCCCAAAAAGCCTTATCTTTCTATAGATAAATTATTTAGTTATCTTTTACATTACAACAAATGTGATGCAGTATCAGCATTTCAGAACTCAGATTCTAAACTTATAAAATCCCATAACAACAGCTACACATCATAAAATAAGCCAGTACTGTCTGAATAATATCCTAATTATTGACTGATAATGGCACATTTCCTAGACATGTACACTACACATGAAAAGTTAAATCATCTTCCAATACTCAAAATCTATTCCATACTATTTTAAAGATTTTATTTTTTCCTTTTTCTCCCCAAAGCCCCCCAGTACATAGTTGTGTATTCTTCGTTGTGGGTTCTTCTAGTTGTGGCATGTGGGACGCTGCCTCAGCGTGGTCTGACGAGCAGTGCCATGTCCGCGCCCAGGATTCGAACTAACGAAACACTGGGCCGCCTGCAGCGGAGCGCGCGAACTTAACCACTCGGCCACGGGGCCAGCCCCTATTCCATACTATTTTAAAGGAATGTTATCTTCAATGTACTTGAATGATTAACAATTACATTGTAATTGTTATTTATCATAATAACTTTTTATAAACCTTTGCTTCGTTGAATTGTGAGCAGAGATAGAGAGCATAATCTATATAATATCTTGTGTTTCTCTTCTTTTCCTCTGAATTTGCACGTTCCCTTCTTATTAAATAAATAAGATATAAAAGATGAACATTACTTTGCAGGATCCATCAGGTGGTAATGTAGGAAGATCTGGAGACGACTGAATTGCCCCCAAGACACAGCCCACAGCCCGTTCAGCAGGCCCACACACACCTTCTCGATGGCAACGTGTCCATGAGTCTCTCTGAACAATTAGCTTCTATTGCCTGTTTCTTTCAAATATGATAGCATTATTTGACTTCTCCCTGACGTGTCTTGTTTTACAATTTTTAAAGCAGGGTGGACTAGACTTATGTACTCCTCGATCAGTAACTATATTCGGGGCTGGGTGGGGGGCAGGGGAGGGGGAGAAGGGAAAGAAGTGGGAGGATTGGGAAAAAGTTATTCCTGGAAGTCCAAAAAACCTCTGGTCTTTTTCCATTTAGCAACATGGAGGAAGAAATAGTGAGGAAAGGACCAACACCAGAGTCTAGGTTATATTTTTTGTAATTATTTCCTCAAGTCTGTCACCTGATTCAGTCACTTAATTTAGAAAGTTGATGCTAAGACCTGTTTAAAGAACTGGAAGTATTTTTGTAATGATAAAAGATTTGAAAATCCTTGAAAAAATCTACTGATTGGACTTCCATTAATTTATGATTTTACAGATGAATATGGGGTTTAGATAAAACATACTACCCAAAGAATCTAGTGATTTTTGTTTTTTTGAGGAAGATTAGCCCCGACCTAACATCTGCCACCAATCCTCCTCTTTTTGCTGAGGAAGACTGGCCCTGAGCTAATATCCGTGCTCATCTTCCTCCACTTTATATGTGGGACGTCTACCACAGCATGGCTTTCCAAGCAGTGCCATGTCCACACCCGGGATCCAAACCGGCGAACCCCGGGCTGCCGAAGCAGAACGTGCGCACTTAACCACTGTGTGACAGGGCGGGCCCCCAGTGATTTTTTAATGTTACGACAAACAGAGGAAAATTGCAAAATGGCAGCATTTCCATCTGTCATTTATTTGATAGGAAAGCTGGAATTATCAAAGTTGGTTTTTCACTGAACACTATACACTAGCTATTCAGTTTGACTTCAACAAATGTAAATCTTAGGACTTAAAATACATTGGGATTCCATATTATTTTAAGTTCTAGTATCTTGATGTACATGGGTAATGTTAGCTAATTTCAAACTTATTTAGGTCTGTCCCCTATTAAACTTAAAAATTTGGATAGTATTTAATAAAGTCAGTAGGATCAGATCAATATAAATTTCTTGTTATTTCAGATATATTGCCTAAGATAAAACTGAAAGCGGAAAATATGTTCGATTCTAAAATATATTCAAGATTTTTATTCTCTAGAAAGCTCTTCATGGCTAGGAGAGCTGTGTTCCTTCTTGAAATGGTTACTTCTGCACTATTTTTCACTGTATTGACTGTGTTGAGTCATTATTGTCAAAAAAGTACAGTGACAACTTTTAAAAGTGGGTTGGTAACTGCCTGGATTTTATTTTTATTTTTGGCTTAGGTCGAGTAATTTTATTAGAATATTGCCCAGGGTTGGTCTTTCAGGATTAAATTTTCCAGGAATATGATTTTCCCTTTCAATTGTAGTTTTAAGTCATCTCTTCTTAGGAAAGTTTTCTTGGATTACATTAGTTTAGTACATGTTCTGTTCTATTGCTCTGGGTTTCTTTTCCGGGAATTTATGTATGATGAGTTTATTTGCCTGTCTTCATCTGTCACTTTCTCTAAAATCCTTTTTATCACTCTCTGTTGATTTTTGATATTTAAAAATTTCCTCCTTTCCATTTCTGTTTCTCTTAAATTATTATCTATTGTGACTATTCTTTCTTGTGTTCCTTCCAGTTTAGGCTTTGCTCCTGAATTTTTGGGTTTTTTGCATTATAAGTTCTTTCGTGAGTTCTATCACTTCATTTTTGAATTTTTTCTAATTCTGGTTTACATATATATTTTAATGTCTTCTATCACTTAAAACCTATCTTATCTTGTTTTAAAACATCAGTTTACCCGTTGTTCTCTGTCTTGCTGGCATGTTTTCATTGTCTGTAGAGACCTTATTGTGCTCCTTTTTCTCTGTTTTTAACGGTAATTTTGTGGGACTTGACACCAATTCCTCTCCATCTCCCTACGCTTTTGGAACGAAAGGTTTGGTCAATGTTGCTTTTCTAGCTTCACAGTTCTAGAGCTTCCTTTTGTCCCTACAAAGTGGTTAAAAAAGTGGCCTCAGACTTTCTGTGATCTTTCCATGGCCTTCTGTCTGTCCATTCTTTAGGCTGAACGTGCTTTTTTCTTTATTCCTTAGACCCGGTGTTGCTCTGCCCAATTTGGGTTCTATTCCAACAGGTTCTCCTCAGTGGAGGGCTTTCTACCAGAGGGGGATTGGAGATATTTTAGGTTCAAGAGCGCTTTAGACCCTTTCTCAGACCCCTTTCTCTACCCGTGAGTTGGAGCGGCACAAACCTCTGCTCACTTCACAAGCTGTCCCACTTTGCTTCCAGCATCTGCTGGTGAAGTTCTGGTCCTCAGGTCAGGAGACACCCCTCGCCCTCCTCCATCTCCTGCACAGCTGTGGACGCCACCCAGGTCCCAGCTTTTGCCCCACCCACTCAGACTCTGAAGCCCTGGGGACACCGTGCACACAGTTTTTTTGGAGCGTTTGTACGTATGCTTCAGTTTTGCTGTCCTAGTTGCTTTCTTTCTCTGTTTTTATGAGGAGACTGGGAGAGATTCAAAAACTGTGCTTCTCAAATTTCCTGAATTCTTCCCCTTTTACCTATAGACACTGACTCCCATGCTAAAAGGAGTGGCTAAGAAACTTCAAGTCTGAATTTTCTCAAGATAAATGAGACCTCCACAACTAGAGCAGAGTGAAGACCGTAGCCAGTTCAGATATCTTCAGCAAGAGGTCTTTGTGTTGGCCAAAAAATAGGAATCCTTAGAGGATTCTAATTATGGGAAACAATTACTCACAGACTAGTTGTCCTTCATTTAAACTGTCAGGATAACAACGTAAAGAAAACACAATACTTCCAGTCTCCACCAGTTCGGGAATGGTACAATCTTAAGGCCAACGGCCAAGATCACAGGCCAGCTCTTACAACATTTAATTAAAACAGTTTTGGTAATTAGCACAACTTGTTTATGAATGTGAAAGTATTTCTTGTGTGAATATGCCGGTCACCTTGTCAGTTATGGGGGGAAAGGAAAAATCCTACAAAATATGGAGCTATGAACCAATTATTTTTTTAAAAGCCCCAACTTGGAATTTCTTTTGAACTATCCTCCATTCTTTGTCATCTTCATAAAAACAATAAAAATAAACCCAAACATGCATATCCCCCACCCAACTTGATTTCTGCATATAGTTTAGGATGCAAAAGACATTGTGCTTTTTTAAAAGTTCTTTTGGTTGAAATAAATAGAAATGAACCCAAGCCAGTTTAAGCAGTGGATATTCTAGACTGGTTGCCTTGAGTCCAACAGGCTGCGTTAGGATTACAGTCCTGCTATCTCCTAGTTACAACTCGTAGTAATCTTTCTTAATTTTGTCATATTTTCACTTTTATTTACTAAAGAATAACAAATCACCCAATCTTTTTTTCCCCTTTCAGTATGTTTCATTCTGAAAGATCCATTGCTTTCCATTGATATTTTGCAGTCCAAGCTTAGTATTATAAACTTCTGTAAAAATGTCACATTTGGAAAGAGGAAGAAGAAGAAAAAAGAATGTCACGCCTGCTCTTTACTGTCCAGTACTTCTAACAGTCCTGCTGTCATCAATCCACAAAATGCCAAGAATGAACTCTCACTGTCTTCTCCAAATCCCTGTCGCTGTCATTCATTATTTCAGTCACCCTCCGGCTTGCACCCCTCCCTCAATGGCTTCACAGTCTGAGCATCTTGCTGCCTTGCTCTTTCCTCGGGCTTCTTGTAAGGGTTCATCCCTCTGCTTGCCCAGCATATGCTCCTTGGGCTGCTTCTTGCTTACTATAAATACTCTTCCTAGTGATGTCACTTCAGCCCAGATTTCTCTCCTAAGTTCCAGGCTCACTCATCCAGATACCTCCTAGCCACCTCTACTTCATTGTGTGGTACATTACAGCCAACTCAGAACCCAGTATGTGCACAATGGAAATCATGGCCTCTTGCCCACTCACCTCCCCAGTCCCTTCACAGAACTGCCCTCCGTCATTGCCCTTCTCTGGGTTGATTGACTGCACCATGCACATGGTACCCAAGATAGAAGCCAGGAGGCTTCCTTGACCACAAACCCTTCCTCGGTCCCACTTTAAAATCCGTTACTCCTGCTTTTTGCTTTTATTTCCTGAATGTTTTTCAAATATGTCTGCCCCTTACCATCCACACTCACACGCAAAACATTCAGACCACGTTACTAATTCAACAATCAACTAGCAGTAGATGTTTGTCTTAGCTCCCAGTTTGTCTCCCCAAGTCCATCCTCCACATGGCAGCATCATTGTTCATCCTTAAAACATGGACTCAATTTCTCATTTCCCTAAATATCATCTTTCTATTTTCTCCTAGATAAAATCGAAACTCCTGACAAGGTCCTTCATAACCCAGCTCCTTCCCGGTGTCCCACCTCATCTCTCATAATTGCCCCCCACCTTCTAGCCTAAGCCTCAGCCACCCTGAACTCCACAGTTCTCCAAGGCCAGCACTCACTAGCATTCCCATCTTTACTCTCCTGCCCTCTCTGCCCGGATGCCCTTCCTGCCTCATGGGAACCTGCCTCCCATCATTCTGAGTTCGCCATCCTTCTTGCACATGCCCAAAATTTGTTTCCTTTCTATAACTTCTAATTTTTTCATAACATGATCTTATAAAAATCCTTTTTAATACCCTGAAATATTTGAATTCTTCTTTCAAGGATTCTTACTCTTAACAAATGGTTATGTACAACCAACTACTGACTGTCTACTGTTGGGCTATGCCCAGTAAGCTTATTGGTGCTCTTTGTGGCCATCCTAAATTCTGCTCAGCCCAACTAGATGAAGGCTGGCTGCTGGCCACATGGAGGAAGATGGACTTGAACCATCTGAAGGAAGGTGGGGCCAGAAAGTCATTTATTCATTTCAACTTTCATTTCAACAAGTATTTATTGAGCACCTACTGTGTGTTCAATAATATGCACTGTGTTAGGAATTGCAAATTTAATGATAAACAAGACAGCCTTAATTCTTGCTCTCAATGGAACTTGCAGTCTAGGGGGAAGACAGATCATAAACAGATAAGCACATTATTTAATAATTACAGACTCTGATATGTACCACGTGAGAAGAGAATGTTCATTGGCTCATGTTCTTTGTAGCCTCACATTCATACTGTATTTCAACTTAGTGAGTCTCTCACTGGTAGAGGCACTGGTAGCCCTTCCTGAGATGAGAGTGGACATCTCATGGCAAGATTCCAAGAATAACCCGGAAGAGAGTCCGGCAGCCGGAGCCTCCTGGTTGTAATGTGCAAACTGGGGAGTCTGGCTCTTCCTGGAGCGACTTCGTAGAACTTGCTTCTCACTAACACGAGTGTCCCAAAAAACACTGACATCCAACTAAGAAAGCTGCATACCAATTCTAATTACCTGCTCCAGTGGTTCATCCGTTATTATATGTAATAGAATTAACTGTAGCACTGAACCCACACTTTTGTGGATTCTTTGCCATTTTCCTCACAGTTTTCAACATTTAAAAAATCTGCGTGTCGAGTCAGAGATTTAGGAATAATGAGACTTTCTTAGATTTGTCCTGGGTCATGATTTATTTATAATAAGTTCACACTGAGTTTGCTTAAATAATTTCCTGCTTCCCTGTCCTTGATACTTGCATCCTATAAAGAGGGCAAAGCAGACATTTTTGTGACTATCTGGTTCTGAAGGGTTACCATTCTCGGCTATCTTTCTGAATTTTTTTTGTATTTTTACTTTCACTTGCAGAAGAATTACAAAACATCTAGATCTTGTTTTCAAGTAAATGAGGAAGTTAACACGTCTACTTAGCTCTCCAAGCAGTTCTCTTTGTTTTGGGCAATTCTTTGATGCTCACTGCAAACCATTGTTTTAAGCAAACCACTCTGCGTAATTCTGAGAGTACAGTGCAGATGACGATTTGCCGCAAGCATTAAAAATCAGCATAGTTAGAATTTATTTTCCTCCTGAATTTCAAGTTTGAGGCTTTGCCTTTGTTTTGCTGGGATAAAGAACCAGGTGGTGCTGAGGCTCCAGTTCCCTTCGAGGATTTGGCGGCTTCCGGTTCTTTCCAAGGCAGCCTCCGGGGCGGAGCTGGGAGTCAGCCCCCAGGGAGGGGAGCATGCGCAGAAGGGGTCCACCCACTCGTGCAAAGGGGTTAAGAGCTCAAAGTTTGTTCAGCAGATGCAGACGGATGGCCAATTTAGATAATTAATAGCAAAAAAAAAAACAAAAAAGCATGTTTTAAAAATCAATTTGATAAAGAGGAACACAATAAAGTCTATCTCACCGAAAACCTTATGTAAGAATTCAAAATTCGAACTAGAGGAGAAAATGACATGTATTTACCCAGCCGATGCCCTTCCACTTCAGACAATAGTCAAGTAAACCGTCCCTGCTCCCTGCATGAGTCACCCTTCCACGGTACAGAATACTTAAAGTTACAATGTGAGCCGCCGCTCTCATCCGTTTTTACAGTTAATGGAGTTTGTTTCTCTAATAACAGATACTATTGAACATTAGACTTTCCCACAAATTTATTCTGGTGCAGTTTAACTGTTACTGTTGTATATAATGTGACCTTTCCAATTATTACATTGCTTTGATAAAACAATTTTATAAAGTGATTAACAACACTTGTAATACCATTAAGCAAGAAAATGCAAAACAGGCAGATGTATGCTAGATTAGAAAAGGAATATTTTTTTAAATTGCTTGAAACACATCAATCTCTTACTGTCACTACTGTGTGGTGGCTGTGATTACATGTTGGAGGCAGGATGGACAAGTGTCCCCCTAGGTCATCTTCCACTTTCCCACACCAGACCCCATCTCACGTGAGCGTCCATTAACTCATGTGTTCTCCGTTTGACTGCAAGCTCCTTGGTGGGAGGGGGTGGCCCATTTCGCACAACGAGAACCTAGTTTATAGCATGTGGGAGCACTCAGTCAATATTTGTTGAATGACTGAATAAAGTGTTGCACAGCTAGAAACCTCAGGAAAGAGACGTGTGCCAGGGCACACAGGGACTGGGTGTAGAGATGTCACAGCAAATTTAGGGTGATCCAGAAGCTTCTCCCCAGGACGTCTTCTATAGGTTGTCTGTTGGGATTGTCCATCTGCTAACAGCCCTGGGGTAGGTAGGTTGTTTCTCATCAACACTGCAGGATAAATGGTAGCATCCTCCTGTGCTTCCTGCAAAAAAGGATCCCTCAAGATGAATGATGAACCCACTAGGCTTGTCTGAAAGCTGCCTGCATCTTTTAAAAGCTACAGTGGATTTGAATGGAAATGCACATAATTTGAGGATGAGAAATTTGCTTTTTATCTGGGCTGGAAATAGAGTGTGACTCTGGTTGCATCTATTTGTTTCATACGAACTCTGCTGGTAGGCGTTCTGCATTTATCTGAGGTTTGCAGGATATTTTTTCTCAGGGTTCGTCTGACTGCTCTTGTTTTTTTTTCATCTTTTAATACTGAGAAGATCTAATTTCTGTACAATATCACGTTCATTACACTGAAAATTGTGCTATATTTAATGATGCAAGTAAATTGAAAAGTATTGGCTAAAATCTGGAAACAATCCTCTCTTAAATCACTGTTTCAAAATCTCAACTGAATTTCTAGAATTAATTTAATGCCGCTTGTCTATGTTATGGGAACATTTTCAAGGTGATTCTCGACGTACGTTTTTAACCTCACATGAATAAAAGAAATCCGAATATAGTGTTTTGGAATGTCAGCCCCTTAATTCTCCCCGTCATTCAGTCTCTGCCGAATATAACAAATCAACCCCACAGTTAGAGAGGGGCCTGCCTGGATTTTCCCTCGAAGATGTCATGTCAAGTTTGGCAGAGAATAATTCAGAAGTAACTTCTGTGAAGTTTCCTTTGTACCTTTCACGGCCCGTCATGAGACAATAAAGCAAAAATGAGAAGGAAGCAGATGTTCACCTGCTAATATCCAGGGGCTGGCTCCTCCTTGTACATAAAACAAGCAAACCTTATTTCTCATTCATGTAAATGTGAAAATAGGTGTTTCTGATTGTTGCTTCCATCAATCTCTGCTTCCACCATCTTCATCATCAGCTTCCAAGCTTGCTGTACTCCTCTGCCCCATGCCAAGGGAAGAGAAAAGAGTTTGAGAATCACCTTCGGAAGTCTATGAGCCAGAGCAAGAGGAGGCTTCTGTCACTTGCTCTCACAATCAGTTGCCTAGAAGTCAATCACATGGTCATACTTGACCCCCAAAAGATACTGGGAGAAGCAGTCAGTGATGAACCCCAAATGAGCAGAAATAAACTTGGTAAAAAGCTGTCTAGTTTCTGTACCATTATAATGAATAGGAGAATTATAAGTAGAAAAAAGTAAATTATATGTGTTTGAAAGTAGTCTGTTTTATCAGATCATCTACTGTAGGGTCAGTATTTAAATGTCACACACTCATGAGAATCTCTCCTGGTTTTTTTTTTTTTTTTAATTTTTGGGCCATTTTTGTTTTTTAGCTTCAATGCTGTTATATCAAAATCATGGAAGTTTTCTAAATATCTGGTGGCCCTCTACACGCATTCTAGAGCTCAACTCACACCTTCCAAAACAAGACTTTGAGCGTTTGCACCTCTGTTGGCGGACAGAGGGCAGTGTAAAATTCAGGCTGTAATACAACTGTTCCTTAGAGTTGCATAGCCCTGGGAAAGAGCTAGTGGTCCATGGGGGCCTGTCTTAGCACCTCAGATTTCACCACTACTTTCTGTTCTGCTGATGAGTAAAACTGGCTTCATCCCCACAACATTTTAAATTTAATTAACTGATAAAAATTCTATTTTTCGTATAAAGTTTAAATTATTGAAAATGACTTCAATAATATAAGGATACCTGTAGTACTTTGCTTAATATAAAATTATAGATCTGTATCTGGCCATGGATGTGCTAAGAGGGGGAATTGCGATGATCTCAGTTATTTTTCTTGAGCCTAGTTCAGTCACTCCAGTTTCAAGTCTCGCTTCCGAAGGAATAACATAATTTTCTTAGAGCCTCGTTAGGAGTGTCGTTTGACAATCCCCAACTGAGACAGACAGAATAATGGCCCCAAAAGATGTCCACCTCTAATCTCCAGAACCTGGATTGCTACCCTGTATGGCAAAGGGACTTTGCAGATGTGATGAAGTTAATGATCCTGAGATGGAGAGATTGTCCTAAATTATCCAGCTGGACTCAGACTGAGAACTGTGGTCGGTCCTTCTAAAAGGGAGGCAAGAAGGTCAAAGTTGGAGCGAGGAGAGGTGACAATGGGAGCAGAGACTGGGTGACGTGCTTTGAAGTTGGAGGAAGGAGATGTGAGCCAAGAAATGTAGGCAGCCTCTGGAGACTGAAGAAGACAAGGAAATCGATTCTTCCATAAAGCTTCCAGAACCAGCGCTGCTCTCCTAACAACCTAATTTTAGCCTGTAAGACCCATTTTGGACTTCTGACCTCCAGAATTATAAGATAATAAATTTGTATTTTTTTAAGCCACTATGTTTTTTGTTACCGCAGTCCTTGGAAATGAACACACAAACTGTCTCAAGCCAGCTTCTCTGTGTATGCCATGGTCTATTGATGACTATCTTTCTAATTTCTCTAGGTTACTGTCTGTAGCAAATGCTTTTAAAAAGTGGTGTTGCCCACCAGCTATTGTCTCCTTTATCAACCAGGGATAAAGGTAATATAAAGCAGTTGTGGGATATTTATCTGCATTGCCAGTGATTTGGATTACATTTCTTAAGAAGGAGATTTTACTCAATTCTAAGGGTAAAAAGGAGAGAGGTTGTTTCTGAGAAAATTTTCATATTTGTTAAGAAGAGACAAAAGGAAAAATTAGTTTCTTTTTCTGCTTCTGGGTGTTTTGATATCTGGCTGTGATTCTTGGAGCTTCTGCAGCCATTTTGTCATCAGGAGGGGAGACAGCTGACCTCTACAATGGCATAGAGGAAAGCTGAAACAACCTGGCTTCTTGGTAATAGTGTTGAACCGTTCAGTTAACTGACCAACTGTGTAGCTGCGCTAACTTGCGACCACTTGATTCATGCTGCTAACGAAGACTAACTGAGTTGGCTTAGTTGTTTGTCATTACTTCAGACCTTCCAGCAGTAGATGAGGGGCAGGAGGAAAGTAACTGAACAAGAGAAGGTGGAACTGAAAAGAATCATGTAAACAATAGACACCAGAAGTATTGTAAAACCAGGAGGAAAATTAGTTTCAATAATTTCAGTAAAATAAACTGTTTTATTCATTTCTTCATTTGTGTCTTCCTATTTCTTTTTATAGTCAGTTCTTTTCACTGCACTTAGAGTGAAGGAGATGAAATCTTGTTCAGATGTAAAATGAGTAATCAGAATCACATTTGCATCACTGTTATATTAAACAATACCTGTAGGTTAGAAGATCAGAGCCTCAGGGCAGTCAGGAGGCAGTCTGAACACCTTGTGAATTCACATGGCCAATCAAGTTTTACTTGTATATATATACAATCATGCACCATATAACAACATTTCAGTCAATGGTGGACTGCATATATGGTGGTGGCCCCATAGGATTAGCACCGTAGAGCCTAGGTGTGTAGCAGGCTGTACCATCCAGGTTTGTGTAAGTGCACTCTATGATGTTCACGCAATCATGAAATCGCCTAACAATGCATTTCTCAGAATGTATCCCTGTCACTAAGCCATGCATGACTTTCTATAAAAATTTTATATGAGAAGTATATTTCTCTATATGTAAAAAGATTAGCCAAAAGTCTATTAAGATATGGTACGCACAACACCAAGTTTCTTATGGCGTGTGAGATCTGATCGTATGCTTCTCTTCCCAACTCCACATTCAGGGATTTCAAACTGGCAGTCTGAAGTTGGCCATGATGGGAGTTTTTACACAAAAAATATCACCAAATGCTCCTAGTCAGAGCTCGCCTCCCCCAAGAGCCAATTAGTACACATTTCCAGCACACCACAGGGAGCAATGACAGTAAAGTCATGATTTCTACTCTCATTGATGATTTTAAGTTTAATTACTTAGGGTGGTGTCTTATTTCTAATCATAACATAAAGACGTGATTAATATTTTAATTCACTAAATCCGTCTGCTCAAATTTGCTGAGTTGACCTACTAAAATTGGTTACGAACGCTAATAGTACACTGCAAGACCGAAAGCTTAACTTCCTGAAGCATTTTCAAACCTACCTTGTTTAATTTTTTCTTTTCTGTTTTTTTAATCTCTCTCTATAGGAAAACTATCTAGACTATCAAGAATTAGCTCTAAGGAATTCCTCAGCTTTGCTGTTTCCCATAGTCCCAGGCCATAAAGAGCCTTGTGAGATGACCGTGCCCTACAGTGACTTGAACAAACAGCGGCATTCTGGAAACCCCTAGGCTGCATGTTGTGGGTCATATAACACATAAGCAGGGGACGAGGCAGGATCTTATAGGCTTAATAATCTGGGCCTTGTTTGACACATTTCATGAACTGAAAGTGCCCGAGACTCAATGAAATCAAAGGCCCCTTTCAGTTGAAAGAAGAACAATGAGCCTAAATAAGTTAGGATTGATGGGTGGGCAATTCAATCAGTTTCTGCCTTTGGGCAAATCATTTTACCCTAAATGGAATTCTGGTTCTCGCTTGTGAATCAAAAGGGGATTGAAATGAATGATTTAAAGTCATGCAAACTGACATGTTGCCCTAGAAGGCTAAATCCAGGAGGTCTGAAACCAACACTTGCTTGACATAATTTTCAGAAATTCCCAGAAAAACACACTAAAAGAGAGGATATTTGATCCAGAGAAGGTGGAGCAAATTAACTAAAGAGCAATTCATTCATTCATTCATTTACTCCTTTTTCCTCCCATCTGTCCATCCATCCATCCGTCCATCTAGATCTATGTGACAGACTCTGGGACATGCTAAATTCCGGTCTAGATAGAAAACAGTCATAAAGACAGACAGACCTAATGAGAGACACAAATTGTAAATGAATGCGTGTGTGTGCATATGTGTGTGCATGTGTATGTGGTGCGACACTGTGTGGTGATGGGCATAAATGCCTTGTAAGTGCAAAACATTGTAACCCTCTTTATTGTCTGTAATTGTTCTCTTCTTGCTTTGGAGATTCCATTGACATTCACGAGACCCCCTGGGAGGTGGGAGAGGACTGGGAGAGAAGCATTTGGAGCTGATCCTGAGTGTTCCACTTACCTGACTTCCCTCTCTCCTTCCCAGTTGGCATTTCCTGGGTGTGGGAGGAAGCTTAGATGGCCTCACATGAGCAGAGTAGAGTGTCTGGACTCAGCCTCATGTTGTCCTTCTCCTCTTGCTCCCACAGACCTTCAGATGAGCTTGTACGTCATCTCACATGGTCCTTGGGTGTGGGCCTCTGTCCTTGTATCTGTTGCGGAGGTGTCCGCAGTTGGAATTGGTTCTTGCTCTACTCTCTTGGCATTTTTTTGTATTGCGGTAACATTGATTTATAACATTATATAAATTTCCGGTGTATATCATAATATATTTCAAATTCTGGCAGATTACAACATGTTCACCACCCAAAGACTAATTACAATCCATCACCACACCCATGTGCCTAATCACTCCTTTCACCCTTCTCCCTCCCCCTTCCTCTCTGGTAATCACCAATCCAATCTCTGTTGCTATGTGTTTGTTTGTCATTGTTTTTATCTTCTACTTATGAGTGAGATCATATGGCATTTGGCTGTCTCCCTGTGACTTATTTCATTTAGCATAATACCCTCAAGGTCCATCCATGTTGTCACAATTGGCTGGATTTCATCATTTCTTACGGCTGAGCAGTATTCCATTGTATATATATACCACATCTTCTTTATCCATTCGTCCCTTGATGGGCATCTAGGTTGCTTTCAAGTCTTGGCTACTGTGAATAATACTGCAATGAATATAGGGGTGACTCTTACCATTGATAATGACTGCTGGCTGCTTCTGAAGCTTAGCTGCTGGCTGGATGCCAAAGCTCAGCTCATGTGGGTGCTACTGAGATTCAGGTGTGTCTGTCGTCTTGTCTCTGGCTTTAAGATGTCACCTCCAGTCTTTGCTGTGACCTGAAACTTCCCTGGGCTATGCCCTGAGAAACTAAGTACAACTGGCAACTGCTATCCTCTACCAACCCACTCATGTACCTTAGGATGTCCCTCAACCCTCTCTAGTTGTTTACAACACACACGCACGCACCTTCACAGGCACACACACCTACACACATGCACACACAGGGCTTCCATCCTGAGTGGGAGGTTCTGGGATTCTAATGCCAATGGCTTGCTCTTCATCTCTCCCTCCCCCACCTCTACTGCCCCTTCCCAGAGGGGAGGCCCTTCTTCCTGCTTCCCTACACCAACAAGGAAGGCAACAAGAGATCTGGTTCCTATTACTGAATAAGTAAATATTTGGTACCCATTGTAGTAATTA